GCATCACCAGAAATGTGACAATTAGCCTATTTTCAGGCAGATAGTGTATTTTTATCCTGGTATTAGAAATGAGAATAAATGTACAGTTGAGTTTTGAAAATACCCTTTTTTTTAAACAGTCCAAGCTGTCACTGCGAAGCAGTATAATATCAGGGATGGTGACAATGCTGATAAATTATTTTGGAATAATACCCTTCTAATTGCATCTAGAATCTTCCTACTTCTGTACAAATGGAAGCATTATTATTGAGAATAGTTAACTGGTACATTTTTTTTCTTACAACTGTTCATTAATGAATGTTAATACTTCTTCTAACATAGTGAAGAATTCCCCCCACCCCATAATATAGAACAAATTGATAAATCTTTTGACTATATTTGCAACCTTGTAAATTTTTTTCAAAGCGCATGATCTACAGCAAGGAATGTGCAGACTTTGTTTTCTAATGCAGTCTATACCATGAGATTCACCTAAGGAGTCTATATCAGATAGTCTTCTCAATCCAGAGTCCAGACCCATTTAAACTTGGATTTTATTGATATTCTACTTACTTCAGACTCTGTCAAACCCTAAACAAAATCCTGTACTAGCTTGAATCAAGGCCAATAACAAGTTGTTTTGATACACGATGCTAAACACGATTACCAGACCTGACTCTAAAAGCAACTAAACGAGGATAGTCCATCTCAGCTAATTAGGAACGTTATTATCCCCCATTTCAATGCAGAGAAAAATTGGACACATGTCTGCCTAATTAAATCTAGCCATTAAATATAACCGTAATGGATGTTGTCCCCTTAAACCGTCTGTGGACATGTTTTTGTTTTCTTCAAGAAGGATTTGAGAGTGTTTTTGTTTTCGTCAAGAAAAAGGATATCTGAAGGACAGATTGTTTGCTGTTTTGCACTGATACTCCAGAAAGTGTTGATGATCTAGAACCCTCACAAGCTGTATAGTGTGTAGCTTTGTGTAACAATAATGATGACAAAATAAGAATTTAAACAAAAATTACAATGAAATGTGCATAGGACTTTAAACTACATCTAAATGATACAGGTTTTCCCATCCGTTTAACATATTTTAAATACAGTTTCATCTTTGTTCAGTTTAATTTTGTATTGTGAATCCGGTAACATGCAAATATCAAAGTCAATGTAGGCATTTGTTATTCAAGTTGGTCAATAGTCAATCCATTTCATCGCTCGTCAAATCTGTTCATCAAAATTCATTTGAATTCATCTCACCTGACACAATATTGCAGAATTCATTTCAAATCTGTTCAAATAGTTTAGATACTCAGAATCACTGAGAGCTTGAAGATATTTTGTTTTATAATTTGTATATGTGTAATTCCTTCACAGTTATTGAATAAGAATTTGAAACAAATTAGATACCTTTTTTGAAGCCGGTAATAAAGTGAAGTGAAGACAAGACATTGATTTAAACCGTGAAAAGAACAGGCTGAACACTTTTGTAATTTCTATGCATACTTCTTGACAAGTCTGTAGCTTTTAGAACCTTGCCTGACATAGCAACACATAATGTTGCAAAGTGAACTCCATCTAAAGAGTTCTGCTATGGTGAGAAACATGCATACATTGCAATACATTAATAAACAGTTACATTCATATATGCGTAGATTACTAGATTTCACTTTCACATGTTTGTAATTTCTTCACCAGGAGATCCGGATAAATTACCAAGTTGGTTGGGCATTAATAGGAAAGGGCTTTGCATGCCAGGTATGTGGTGATAGATATGGTAGAGCACTTTCTGATTACATTGCTAGGTTGGTTGAGCATCAAGCAAGCTAAGGCAAGGCATGGTATCTTTTAGTTTGAATGTGTTGTGGCTGCAAGATTGCTGCAGGGTTTGGCTGAGCATTGCCTACCAGAGCTCAGAGGGCAAGGCTAGTAAAGATGTAAACCCAGACAGCATGCTATCCCAGTAAATACTCTCTAAGCAGACTGGTATCTTGGTTGTTTTAAGCAAATCTGTTAACAAATTACTGTCTCGAGCGATCAAACAATCCAGATATTCCGATCAAATTAGCTTAAAATTCTTTTATTTTCATCAGTAAAGCTTTATAACGCTAGTATCGTTGTTGTCACAGATTAACGTAGCAGATTAACGTAGGACATACAGGCCTGCATATAGCCAAGGACCCTCTGACATTTATAGGGATCATGTGCATTTGGCATATTGTTGCATTCAAGTATGATATGATACTCTAAGCTAGATACACACAGTTCCAGGGCCGGCCATAATTCAGTTGGGTTGGATTTGATTTGAAACAATTTATTTAACATCTATGCCACGGGCCTTTACATTATTCTCCTGATTCAAAACTTCTTTTAGGCAATCAAGAAAAAACTTGGACCCCCATGTTGAGGGGTATTCATTGAAATGGGGCACTAACAAGCAATGTTTTGACGGTGCTCTAGTTCAATGTGTGGTAGATTGGAGTGTACTTGGGGTAAATGGGAGAAAGTCGGTGATCCAGATTTGGAAAGGCCAAGAGTAAACAGCCGTAAATCAGGGAAGATGAATTTTTGTGCTTGGCACACAGCAGGGCCAGACGGTCCGGGATGAAATTACACCGGAGGGTGTGCGATTACGTGACGTCTGCCTTGGAATATATCTAAGGGGAAATCTTCTCTTATTTTCCCATGAAGCTTTTGAAAACTCTTTTCAGGTCCATACAAACATATCCTGATAAAAGAATTTGAAGTAGAACCTTGCTCCCACCCCCAACCCCCTAACAAAAACAAAAACGGAAGGAAAAAACAAACAGAAGAAGCAGGATTTTTTGACATGAAAGTTCTTTTCATGTTTCCCTTTTGCAAGCAGTAAAAGGCTATTCGGGTTTTGAACAGTAGAGAAGTAAATTATTCATAGGGTACCCTTATACATTTTTCTTTTGTGGTATTTTTTATAACTTAAGAATGAAAGGTGGACTGGTTGAATTAGGGCCTTTGTTGAATACTTTAAGATGTAAGCTTTGATATCTCACATTCATAAATTGGGACGAATCAATTTTCACATACTTAACAAATTACAGAACTTTGTAAGAGTATGAATAATTTAGTTAACTGTATTGATTAATGTATTTGTCTGAAGACCATTCTTTTATCTTAAGTTTTCAAATATACTTCAAAGGAGAGGATGTAGAATTTGGAAGAGGAGGGGTCATATGAAAGAAGGAAATGGAGAGGGGAACAATGAACGCAAAGAGAGAGAGAGAGAGAGCATGGACCATGGAGAGAGAGAGAGAGAGAGAGAGAGAGAGAGAGGGAGAAAGAGAGCAAGAGAGAGGGAGGGAGGGAGAAGAAGTCATTAACGAGAGAAAGATTAGAGAGAAAGTGGGGTGGGGGCAGATAGATATATGACGAGAAGAGAGGGGCATAGAGAAAGAAGAGGAATCTCAGAAATAACGATCAATTATGAAGTAAACGAACTGCTTGCAGGATCGCTATGTTTTCAAAACTTGATTTTACTTCATCTATCATCCTGGATGTTAAATACAATCATTTCACCCACACATTCTGAAGTGGAAATCTGCCATTTGTCATCCAATTAATTCCTGCCCCTGTTTCCCTAGTATCTTTTGTCTGTGTTCCACTTAACATTAAACATGTTTTAGTAACAGTGCCTCATGAATCTTTAATGTGTCACGTTGTTGTTCAGTCTTACAATCCTTTAATCTTCACTTGGCTAAGATGTGTAATCATGCTTTCCCTGCTTTATATACACTAGTAGTTTTGTTCACTTTGCTTAAAAAGTAATTATGATGCTTCATACTTGATAGTGTGGGTTTATGGTGTTAATATGAAAGGAATAATACAGTTCACAACTAGATTATTCATACCCCTCCTAAATGTGATGTTTTTGTGTTTTTTTTTCGTAACTCAAGAATAAAAGATGGACTTGTTAAATCAGGGTCTTTGTTGAATTCCTTTAGAATTTAAAGCTTTAAGATGACACATTCTCCTGAAACATAAATCAGGACAAATTAATTTTTCACATACTTAAATAAAGTCAATATTTGGTAAGGGTATGAGTAGTTTAGTTGTTAACTGTAATAGTAGGAAGCAAGAAAGTTGAATAGTTAACCATTGGTTTGCTTAAGAAGTATTTATAGTGTGAGTTTTCTACCAGTGTGTATCTGTTTGCAGTTCCTGTTTGTATACTTCACAAGCCTTCCCTTATTTCGTTGCTCATTCTCTACAAGCGATCCTTCATTATTTGTGGATACAGCATCTATGGGCATAAATACTAGATGAAATAGAAAACACAATTTTTGTAAAATGCATTTTAAAGCTTCAAAAAATAAAAACTGCTATTATATCTTACACTTATAATCATGTCTACCATAATAGCTTCAATCATCTACACATTTATGGAATTAAATGGTCATCTTACTGGACAGTGCGGAAATTGGTTATAGCAAGGTGATTGTTAGTTTGGGTTATTTACAGCTTTTGCCATTCAATATATTTTCTTCTGAAACTTTCACAAAAAAAATCATCGGATAACATTATTGCTCACTGTCATCCATTTAATATTCATTGTTATAATCAATCCATCAGTGATATATATCTGTTTAACCGTATTCACACACAATTACATTCTCGTCGTTTGCACATCTATTTTTGCACATCTATTTTTGTCTATTAAATTGTCTGCATTTTTATTAACCATTATTACTGTACGGATGAATAACGCCCACAAAATCTATGTAAAAATTATAAATTTCAGTAATTTATTATGAAGACATTTATAGCCATACAGGTGTATATTAATTACATGAAATATATTAATGTAGAGAATTTACACTTTTTGAATATATTTAAAATATTTAAAATATTTAAACGAAATGTTAACATCAGTTAACATTTCGTTTAAATATATTTTCTGAGCACTCTTTGATGTGAACATTTCACTTTAAAATTATGTTAATGAATTTTTGTTGTTGTTCTTTTGTTGTTTTATCTTTTAGGTGTCCATTCATGCGATATAGAAACACTGCTCATTCCTGTTCATCTTTAGCCAAGTGAGGGCGCAATAAGCGTCCTGGCTGTACCTCCGCTGAAAGTTCCTTGGAGTCTATAAAACGCTGAAAGTTAACTTAATAAGCACTAGCTTCAACTTGTAAGCTTCATTCTTACTGCCACTATTGTTTAAAGAATACACAGCTTAAATTCTCAAATGTGAACAATTGCTGTTGATACACACTTTGCCATATGTAAATGAAATGGCCATGATCACATGGAAAGATGATACGCTATTCTAGGTGGCAGTAAGAACAAAGCTTACAATCTGTGTGCGGTCTCAACTAACAGTATGCATAGTTGTAGTCATTTTTTTTTACCTCATACCTCTGAATTTGGGCATCATGGTTACTTTCCATTACCACTATGCAACACATCCAACTCCATTGACATGTAGTGTAGCGTAGGTTTGGTGTATTTTTGTTTTTTGTTTGAAACACACTGTACTATAAAGTTTCATATTCGTAACTGCATTTGTTTTTTAAAGGTACTATCGGATACTCAAAATATCATTGGGCAAAACTTGTCATGTGTGTTCTGTCCAACAAGTTAAATCTAGATAGCAAAACAAAAAAGATAAGTTTAAAAAAAAGTACTTCTGCAAGATTTATATCTGTTTGGTTAATCCAACTGACTAATAAAATAAAGCAAGGTTAGAATGGACTTAAAAATCATCTTAATCGGATAAATACTTTGGCTTGAATTTCCAGTGGATGAAACATATTGAAATGCATGTTAGAATAAAATGTAATCTTATGCAAGGAATCATAGGGGCTCGAGCTGTGTCTTAATGCTTTTGTTTCTTAGCAAAAAATAAACACAAAAAACTAACGAGATTTAAACTAAAGACTAAATGATATTTTGAATGGCAGTTTTTAATATTTATCCTCTACAGAGCCAGAAGGTCATTTGTTTGTGCTTTGTTATACTTTTCTTTAAGCTTTGTGGAATAATTCCCTTGTGGCTCTTTGCCAATTTCTAATCCATGTTTCTTTACACTGCATTCACAAAGAAAGTATCAGAAGAACAATGCAGATATTACCTTTAATTGTGTGGTCTTCTTTAGAGCTAACAGCATTGTTTAATAGTGGTAAGACATCCTCCCTTGTAGGAACACACCATCGAGTTCTTGTGGCTTTATATAGGTACACATGTATGTGGGTTGTGGTAGAAGCTAGGTTCATTCATACATATTAATCGCATTATACTCTCCCTCATATCATTTCTGTTTTCAAGTTTCATATTTTTTTGATATCTTCTTTTCTTTTCACTGCAAATTTTGTTTTTCTTTTCATTTTTCACCCTGTTGGCAAAATAATCACAGCTCCTAAATACATTTCTGTTGTGCACTCTGGTGTTTCGAATCACTGAACATCAAAGTAGGCCTGCATTTGGCACTTTTATAAATACTTTCCATCTAAAAATGAGATACATGTACATATGGGATAATGAATTGGACATTTTGTAAAGCTTGAATATTCCATGTTGGGTTTACAATGGCACTATTGCCATGATAGTGATATGCTGTTGATAGGTATGCAATAAATTGATCAGGAGACTATCTTGTATTATGACTAAAAGATTCTCATATTGACAAATATCAGAATCATATTACTAAACAATAATAATTGGCTGTAATGGGATATCGTATTAAAATGTTGAGTATAATCATGTACATGCTCAATAAAAATTTATGAGCAGTGAGTTCTTATGCGTTTCTGTTTTTGTTAAAGAACAATATTCATAGGATTGTTCCTGTTCTTCAGTTTTACTTTAATACACAGAAACAGGGATATATATACGAGTGATTTGTTAGGAGATAGAAAGGAAACAAATTCAGTAGTGCATAGAATTCTAAGCATCATATAAACTCTTGAGCTAGCCAACACCAATGTCTTTTGTTAAAGATAAAACATTAATAGCATTGTCCCTGTTGTTCGTCATAGAAACATTGATATTTATAAGAGATTTGTTAGAATTCAGTTGTGCATGAGATTGAAATGTTAATATTTGATGTACTATACCTAGCAATAGGGATAAAGGCTCTTGAAAATCAACAGAGGTTTGAGGTAAAAAAAAAAAATGAGAGAAAGAGAAAGCAACTAATGCATACTACTAGAACATCAAGAAAAGAAAAGAAAAGAAAAGAAAAGAAAAGGAGGAAATATTTCCAAGATTCAGAGGAAATACTTTTTGTGAAGAAATTAGTGAAGAAATTGCTGAACTTTTATTGCTAAAGAGGAATGAGCAGTGAGTTCTTATGCGTTTCTGTTTTTTAATATCAACTGAAGCTATGAACTTTTAATTAATCTATGAAATATGAATTGAATGTATTCCCCATTTCAAGGCAGCCCTAGATTTTCATTTTTGATAACAATTTACTCAAACTTTCTCCTTTGCATCTGCTGGTTATACTCATTCGTTTCTGTCATATTCCATTTTCATGATCTGTCCTCGAATGCACACTGTTCAGTGTTTGTGCCACCCTATTGCTTTCAAATTTCCAATGCCGTAGAGAGATTATTGTTTAGGGGATAGAGAAAAAAACATACATTTTAAATTTTCTTTTGTGGCTGTTGTTGCGGACACTTCTCCATTCTTCGCATTTTAAAGCAATTAGTGCCTTGACAAAATACAGACCTTTAATCGTCCCTCTCCCATATCTCACTTTCACTTTCATCGTAATTGATAATTCCCAGTGGTTCTGCGCCGTCCCCCTGATTGTAGAAGAAAGATAAGTCTTTACATGCATGCATGAGAAATGGCTATGTGCATCATCTATCACTGTCTTCTCCGAACGACATTCAAATTTCTTGTGTTTGCTTGAGTGCATGCCCTAATGTGAGAATTGCATGGTAGATAGATAGTTTTTACACCATTGTAGATCAGTTATCCTAGCATCTAGCACAACCCACATATCTGCATACTCTCAAAAATTGACTGATCAGAGAGAGAGAGAGAGAGAGGTGATATCAATTTTTTTCTTTGTGGTCTGTCTGCTCAAAATCACCATTAATTCAAAGGATATTTTTTCTTCTTTCTTTTGTGTATTTGTAAACTAGAGATTTCAAGCTTTCCAATGATATATGGCATGCAATTATGTATTCTGCTAAAACCTAGACAATGCTGGGTTAAAAGCTTGGTGTAAAAGTTTAGTTTGACAAAAGAAGTGAGGATGAAGACTAAGACAAATCAAAGACAACATGAGCAATGAAGGTTTGTGATATCTGCTGGTAGAAGTCTAAAGATAGTATCTTTGAAAACATTGCAGAAACTGTCACTATCAAAGACAACATTGGAGCAATAGAGGTTTTGTATATCTGCAGGTTTAGCTGTAAAGCTATCGAGAGTAGAAGGGTAATAAGGAAACCATTAAGAGTTTACTTACTGTCAAAGCATGGTCATATAGGTATTACATTTCTTTGCAAAGCAGTGTTACAATGTTGATTTTTTTTTTGTAACTTAAGCAGTTTCAGTTTTGAATAAGGCATAAAGGGAAAAAATATTATATTGGTATATTTGATGCATACACAGTAGGCCTGTCTTCATCAGCTCAAGTTTGCCAAATAACCCGCTATTTTTAGACTGGGGATATTATCCCGAAGCTCGAAACTGCATCTTCACCAGACTGAAACGCTCATGGCAAACTAGCTTGGACGGGCACAAATTAGCCCGCTATTTCCCAAGTAGCGTGATATATTGGAAACAAGATCAACATTTCTTGGGATATATTCTCAACCAAATAACCCGCTATTTGCAACTGCAGGCTGATGAAGACGCAAATGAACTTGTTGATTTGCGATCGGAATAGTTAAAATAGCTGGTTATTTGGCAAACTCAAGCTGATGAAGACAGGTCTAGTAACCTCAACTCCTTCCAAGAATTTGTTATGCGTTAGACTGTTGTCTGCATGAAAGTGACGATAAAGCTGAAGTTGTAAGTGTGAAAGAGTCCTCACTATTTAACTTTCTGACAACATTTGATCCTGCCCATGTCTATTGTTTTCAGAGATGCATTTTATTAGAACAATGTAGTAATGGAAGAAAAATATAATTGTTGCCAATGTGAAGGACAATGTGTTATCAATTTAGCCCTAAAAATAAATCCTGTCCTGAAAGCATTAAAGATAACCAAGGATCACGTACAGTAGTAATTTTTCTATTGATAAAAATGTTCGTAATGCAAAGGTAATAAAACTACTCTGTTAAAAGAAAAAGAAATTGAAGATGGACATGTATCCAGGCACTATGTAATGTTATCACCTATTGAAAGTACTTTTGAGTAACATTGTTAGGAAAGTGTTTAAAACCACTTGGAATCGTTTTGTTGTGTTTTTAAAAAGTAACTTTAAGTCTATTTATAAGCATTATATTCTACTCTTACAAAACCACCAACTGGAAGGACGGAATGACGTACAAGATTAATTACTACCCTCCTACTACACAAAATAGCAGCATTTTGTTTCAATATAAAAGCATTATTTCCTTTTATAAAAAAATGCTTTTATTAAAGATGTTTTTGATAATGTGCATATAAACCTAACAATTTTTGTGTTTGATTCAGTATTACATGGCAATGTTTGCACCATCTCTCCATATTTGTTACTCTAATATGGACCCATTCTCTTGCCAATCAATACCCAAATTAGTGGATTAGATAATGGGGATTAATTTTTGAAAACATTGGTGCTGGGTAGTTTTGATGTTTTCATTGGTGGAGTTTGCTCAGATTAACTATGCAGAAAGTAAAGAGCGGGACTACATGGATACCAAGGCTCCAGTATCAGTATAATAATCATAATTATTTGTTGTTGTAAATATGGAATATACAATTGTGCTAACTCTTCTGTTGCTTTACCAAATTTTGTAAACTGCCAAAGCAAGTACCATGCACTCAGAGTTATGACATTGAATAATGGAAGATTTTAATTTTGTTTTAATTGTGGGAATACAGGAAGGACTAATATGTCATCTCAAAATTTTCTTTCTTTCTTTTCTTATCCCTTTTTTAATGGTTTTTTGTTTGTTTGTTGATTATGTGTTATTAATTCTGTATAAATTGTAAATTGAATTATTGTACTTGGTATTTTTTCATTGAATAATTATGATTTGAATTTGAGGGGTTTTCTTTTTTTTTCTTCTCTCCCAAGTACTTATGCATTTATGTGCACCATTTATGAAGAACAAGGAAATTAGTATGAAACATTGATTGTGTAGTAATACATGATTGCAATCTACATGTACTCGCTCTGTTAGTGTCTACATGTACACATATTTAATTGTTAATTCTTCGGATAATGTTAGATTTTTTTCCTTCATAACACGGACACACTATATGATACATGTGCATGCGTGTATATGTTATGTGAAAAAGGGGCATTGTATTGAGCAGGTTAAAGGGAGAGATCAAAATAAATGGCTATAAACATTGCTTGAGCAGAAGAATGTATATGATGTTCTGAGTTTAGACAATAACTAAATCTTATCTGTGAATATATTTCTTGTTCAATCTGTATATACAATTTTTGCAAAATTATTGCCTGGTTCTGTGCCTCTTACTTTAGCTATTAAGCAGGTAGGATATTCTGACAAAACTTGGATGGAAATACATCCTTTTGCTTCTAAGCCAACTATCTACTTTATGAGTATATCTGGTGAGTGCCAGAAGGACTAATGTTCAGCTGACTGTACAAAACTTAAGACCTTTAGTCTCGTTATAATCTATAATTCGATGTTGATAATATGATGGAAGAATATCTCGAGTTATACTTGTTTGTATATGTTATTGAAAAGTGTGAAATATTATGATATATTGTGGAACATGTTCTATTTATTTTATTATATATTTATATATATGTGTTGGTTGATAATTCCTCTTGCACTGTTGTTTCAAATGTGGGCATCACTCTTGATGAATGTAAGAGTATGATTAATGTATTTCATTTGACAATTGTAAGATGGACCTGCATTACAAGATATTCATCTCCAATCATGTACAGTGTTGCTTGATGTTAATGCACATGAATGCAAAACCATTTGTTTCACCATGTAATTTCTGAAGAAAGCAAAGTAGAATAGGAGGTGTACAGATTATCTGTTACAGATTAAGGAGGAAAAAAAATAGTTGTTATTGCGATTTCTTTTGCAAATGGTGTCATCTCAGAAATCAAAATAAGAGACTGCAATTTTCCTAACCTGAGAGAACTTATTAGAAATAGCTTTCCCCTTAATCCCTCTGGTAGACCAGATCAAGAGCTTGATTCAACTGCTTTATGACTTGGAATATATCTTCACTCAAAAAGATTTTCCATAGGTGTAGATTTGGTCGAAGGAAATAGGATGGCTCAGATTCCTTGATTATCTTTAATGCTGGCAATTCTATCAGCTAAAATGTCAGCATTAGCATTTTAGAATAATCTTTTTAAGGTACCTTGATGGCATTTGAGTTAGTACCTGACCTGTACAAAGTGATGCACTGCCCTTCGTTTTCATTTGAGTACACTCAATCTGTTTTTTGAAATATTTTAAAGCTTCAATTCATGACAGTAAGATTTCTCATGTCCACTGCCCCCCCCCCCCAAAAAAAAAAAAAAAAATCTTCCAGCTAAGATAGATGTGTGTTTGTAATATTTGTTCATTTTTTTGTTTTGAATTGTTGGAAAGTAGCATCGTTTTTTAAAATCACGATTTGGTCCTAAATATTTTGTTTTTGGTATATTTGTTTATCTCCCGAAGTCAGCTCCATTGGATTAATATGCACACCATTTAGAGACTGTAAGAGCAGTATAATCGATGTACATGTAGGTACTTATCTCGATATTAAACAAAAAGGTGTCGGATGATCGATGGACAAGAAATCATGTCAATATGAGATAGAAATGTGCTTTATCAATGTCTAACCTATGTAACCTATGTAACCTATGTATCATTCACACATTAACCCAGTAAACCACCCTCATGGAAAATGAAAGAAAGAAGAAAATAAAAAGATGGGGAAAAAATGCCAAAGCAAAGTAAAAAAGTTGAACAACTCAATTATCTCTGGATTAAAATAGCATCACCAACATGATGACTATCTTTGTTGCCAAAGGATCTACAACTCGACTTAATCTAGGATTTAAATGTTTATTTTTTATTTTTTATACTTTTGTGTATTAATTTTCTTTAACTCGTGTGGGCTTTTGGGAACAATATATACCTAATCTTAGCTAACTAAACTCAACATGTACAAGGTGGAGTAGTGTAAGGAATTGAATGCCTTACATTATGACACACGTTCGAACCCATATTATGTTTATTTTAATGTATTAATGTGCATCAGTATTATTTCTTTTTGAATGAACCATGTATGTGGTGCACCTGCAATGCTTGATTGTGGATATAGTACACCATTTGTTAAAAACAAAGTGATAAGAAAATTTGTTATCTGTGTCCTACGTTTTCTGAAGCATGGTGGAATATTAAAATGATTATCACCCAAGCATTGGTTTCCTCGATTATTTGGTCTGATTGTAAATGCAAAGGAGAAATTGGCAGTATTAATCTGTGATCGTTCTAGATCATAGAAACGTAGAAGTAATGTGTCAAGTATTGGCAAGTGTAACTGCATCACCAAAAAATCTGCCATGAAGAGCATTACGACAGCTTACCAGGACACATTTAAGTGAGCGATTTGAAAATGATAGCAACGTTCACACTCACACAATCTTCAAGGAGATCAGATGTGCGTTTTCCTCTGATATTGTTCCCCCATTAAATATATCATTTGAAATGTCACATTGTTTGTAAGATTATGTTATAAAATTTTCCTTTACTTTTACATTATTTTAACTCAATATATTTAGGGTGACAATTACGCTATCAAATGGGTGTTTTATCGATCATGTTAAACAAAACGCTGATGAGACGATTCACCACAACCATGATGTATTGTTAAGAATGAAAATAGTCATGATGGTCAGTGTGCCAATATTGGATTTCAAATTGGCAATATATTTGTGTGAGCATTCGTTTTTTGGTGTAGTGAATTGTTTTGAATCCCTAACCCTTTATTTGAGGATGTGTAAAACAATGTAATAGTACAAGCCAAGATTAAGTGTAAGGATGAAACCAAAAATATGCCCCCTACCCAAAAGAGAAAGAAAGGAGAATAAAGTAAATGAAATATATTAAATCATACAAAGGAAAAAGTTATGAGAATTTAAAAATTGGCAATGTGGTGATGTGGAGGATTGTTGGCTCTTGAGTTTAATCATGTACTTTTGCTGATGGCTACATGCACAATCCTGTCACATATTAGATGTAATGGTTGTTAGTTGAATTTGAACACAGAGGGAAATGTACATGTAGATGTATTATGAACAGCAATGAAAACTCATGTTCAATGTGTTTGAGCTGGTTTTATTTTGTATATCATGCTTGTATTTAATTGTTTTCTTTTGTACCAAAACAGAAAAAAAAAAGGCATCATTATGGAAGTTGTAATAAATTATGAATTGGTCGATCTATGTGTAAAACTTACACTTGTTGAGGCAAATATTACACAACATAAACTGTAGATTTTTTCTATGCAAAAAAACCCCTATTGTGTCAATTTGTGTTATTATTTTGTGTGTGTAAATGATCTGCAGCCTACACGTAGACTGTTGGGCTTCGGGGACCCAGTCCAAACCCATTGTATAAACACATAAGAAAAATACGCTCAAATTCGACATTTCTGTTGCACATTTATTAGAGACCAGGCAGTGAATGCATGGAAGGAACAAGAAAACTGGGTCTGTTTTTAAATCAATGACGTACCTCCTCCGATGTAGTTCAAGTACGAGTGCTAGGTGCATGAGAACCACACACAAACTTACTATCCCTTATCGTATATAATGGTTTAATTTGCTCTTGCCGAACGATTTAATGTCAGTAACATCTTATATGCAATTCCTGTGTTAATTTCATTTGGACCCATGACAAAACGGTTGTATTAAATTCAGGTATTGAGGGATGGATCACCTTTTAATTTCCAAGACACCATACTTTTTCCCTTGATTCAGTATACAGAAAGCATGCCACATAAATATGGAAGCTTTATTAATTTCAAATAGGTGAAAGACAGAAAAGAAATGTCACACGATTTCTACTTCAAACACAAACAGAACATCACATTCTTAACCTTTCCATTCCAACTACCCTTTATACGGTAATTCTGACGTGCCCGATTGAAAATTCCTGAGAAAATGAATCAAAGATAAATTGTTATCATGTAAATCTTTGGAACAATTTTTTTCTGTCGGTACACAAAACCATAGCCATTACTTTGTTTTCTCCAATTGTGTTCACAAATCTTTACGAATTGTTACTAGCACACTGCTTAGACCAAACCAAACCAAAACAATCTTTTTCAATAAGTTTTAAATTTCAATGACCAACTTCTTGTAGTCCCACCTATTTTGATACCTAAACCTACGCTACAATAGTCTTGAAGAAACAAAATCATACATGACCTTTAATTCTCTTTACCTTCCAAATAATAACATATAAATCATGCCTCCACATACATATTTGTAATGTTACAATTCTTTTTCAGCCACACATGTATTGCTGACCGAACATACCAGCATAACAAAGATCTTGAATTGCATTAGAGATCTTTTTTCATACCTCAAAAAAATATTTGCAATGTTACAATTCTTTTTCAGCCACACTTGTATTGCTGACAGAACATACCAACAAAATAAAGATCTTGAATTCATTAGAGATCTTTTTTGAGTGCTTTCAGCCAAGATTAAAGGTAAAGACCAGTATTGGAAACGCCCCAATTTCAAAAAATGAAATGGAAGCTCTTATTACCAATCATGTGAAAGAATATGTTTTGAATATTACATGATGATAAAAATTAAACTAATTAAACTAATTGATATACCGGTATTTGGTAAATAAGTGTATCTCTCGCCTGTTGAGAGATATGAAATTCACATGTCGCGCACGTGTGTGTAGTCCCATATACATCTTTCTGTGTACAGTGCTTCTAACTTTATGAAGACTTTGCCAAATTTCTTATCATTTTGATGATTCCAGAACCTTGCAGTACATCTATGCTAGATGATCAACCTTTTCTGATCGATTTCACAACGTTTCTTTCACAATGCAATCGCATGACCATAACTGGTCTTTAGCTTTAACCAACTCAAAATTACATAGATTCATGACCATAACAATTATTGCAACTTTCCTTTTAAACCATGCATAATTTAATACGAATGATAGAAGATGATCTATAAGACAAGAGGTATTCCAAAGGGCAGAAATAAGAACTGGTTTACAGGACTACTGAAAGGCACACATTTAGATATCAAGACAGAATGACAGAAATCAAATTCAAATATTGATATAAACACATTCTAAACACGATTGCTGACATAGTGAGAGTGAGACGCATGGATGGACGGACGGACAGACAGAACCCTGGACAACGACACCATAAGAAAGAACATAATTTTCAAGTGATAACCTGAAAAGGGAAACAAACGGGAGACGCCCTTTCTGAGAAGAAAAGCTAGATTTAAATCAATATGTAAACCTTTGCTGAAGTGGTTGCTTCCCCAAAATATTCATAATTAATTGGGAATAACACGATCTACACTGAGTCACCATAGAGACGGATCAACAATAGTTTTGCATAGAACACATCAGTAGAATTGTCAGCTTAATCCAAGCATTGGTCACATACAGATAAAAAAGTCACAAAAAAGGAAAGAATAAAGCAAAATAAAGAATAGATGTATCTATATTATTAAAGCACTTTCAAATATATACATATATCAAATCTAAACCTATAAATTGATCCCTTATCTAGATATTGTATTTTTCAGTATTCACAAAATGTCAAATAAAGAACTGCCTCTAAACTGTTGTTCTTGTTGCATTAAAATAAACCATGATTGTTCTTGTCCCTAAAAGCCATTTTACGATTTTCTGAACATTAAATGACTGTCCATTTGGATTTTATCCACAGGCTTTCTATGTCCAATAAAGTAGATGAACTCGTACTGGTAAAAAAAAAAAATCACTTTATAAGCCATGAAATAAATAATGATCAAATTTCATTTGTATTTTAAATTGATTGTCAAAATTTAGGATGTCCTAAATGTATGCTCGATCGTCAACCAAAAATGCACTAAACATTATGGACAAAGAGGTCATCAGAAGTCCTAGTCTTCAACAAAGACATTCTGTGAATACAAAGCGATACAATCCAGAGAAGAGATCTAGCGATGAAGTGCCTAGTCTAACTAGCATGGGTCTTGTATCATCATCATCGACCATGTTGACATTAGATCTCTAGTCCTTTGCTGATGAGGAATGGTTCTTGACTGGGTTCACGTCCAAGAAAGTTCTTCAGCATATCGATAGCATCCTGGGGGAGGCGGTAAAGAAGTGAGAAAAGAAAAAGAAATGTGAGAATGATCTTTAGACCACATTCATTAGTGGCAACAATCACAGTAATCGGGGAATGTAATAAATACAAATTCCACAACATAAGATGCTGTAATTAGAAACCTAGCATATTTGAATATAACAAGAGTTAAAAAAAAATAAACTGAAGAAATCTTAAGGTTATCACCATTAAAACACCACAGCTGGCAACTTAGGGACTCATAACTGCAAAAAGCGAGTTCAGTTACTTTATCAAACAAAGCTCTTTTAAAGCTTTGTCATTTATAGCTTGGCTAAAGATTGTGTGGCGTACATACTGTTGACAACTTCTCTGCAGTGAATTCTTCAAAAACTGGTCAAAATACTAAATTCAACCCTAGACCCAAACCTTATCCCAGATCTCAAACCCAGTAACAAACAACATCCTAACCCTATATTTCAGTTGAAATAAAACATGAGGAAAATGTCACATTATCTGGCTAAAGCTAGAGTATTTGTGATAAAACCTTTTACAGTAACTTCTGCAGATATAGTTAACTAAATTATTCATACCCTTGCCAAGTTTTTGTAATTTTTCCATGAGAGAAATTGATTTGTCCAGATTTATGTTTCTAGAGATTCAGACATTACAGCTTAGGCGAGGCGTCAAAAATATCGATACCAGCAGGCTGCCGCCTCACGTATTGGCGCATCGAGGCTGCAATTACGGCCGAAGCCTGGCTGGGGCAATTATTTTTCACTTATTAGCCCAGCCGGCTTGCGCCAGGCTGGGATCTGAGGCTCGGTTTCCATTCGAAAGGCGGCAGCCGGCGCATGCTTTTGTTCGGAGACCATTATGATGACATCATGAGTTAATTGAGGGTCCTACCGCCAGCGGTAGCCGGCTGAGCTAATTAAAAAAATGCAGCCAGGACGCACAAGTGCAGTTAGCTGCCGCTGGCTGGTATATTTATTTTTGACGCCTCGCCTTACATATAAAAGTATTCAACAAAGGCTATAATTCAACCAGTACACCTTTCATTCTCGAGGAACGAAAAACACAAGAAACAAAATTTACAAGGGGTATGAATAATTTGGTTGTTAAATGTATGTAGATGGCCAGAGGAATACACTTTGTATATTATGTTAACAGTTTTTTAAGGCCGAGCAAGACTACTTACGATGGAGCCGCCGGGCTGGAGGATGTACTTGCGGTATTCCTTGCCAACCTTCTGACTCATTATGCCTTCCTTCTTGAAACGAGAACAGAACATGTCCATGCTGTACACCTCACTCCACTACATTATGAAGTGGGGAGAGAGAGAGAGGGGGGGGGGGGGGGGGGGGGGGGGGGGGAGAGGGGGGGGGGGGATAGTGGGAGAGAGAGAGAGAGAGAGAGAGAGGGGAGAGGGAGAGACAAAGTTAGACAGAGAGAAGGGGAGGGAGAAAGAAAAGGGAGAAAGAGAGAGGGGGGGGGGGGAGAGAAAGAGAGGGGAGAGAGAGAGAGAAAAAAAAAAAGATAGAGAGGGGAGGGAGAAAGTGAAACAAGGTGGAAAGAGGTAGAGAGAGAGAGAGAGAGAGAGAAAAAAAACACAGGAGGCAATGAATTTCATGTCTAGGGTAGGGAAATATTTGGAGAAGACTCTAATAAAAGTATAGCACATTTTCTTGGCAGTATTGATGCTTCATTGGGCATTGTTTAACAAAATGAATTTGTCACAAAGCTACAAACTATAGTAAGTGAATGCGGCTGATATGAATTTCACCCAACTAGACAATAATTTTCTTTTTAAAATGTATTCTTGATGGCAATTACGTTAGCCACTGCCAAACTAAAACATCAAGAAATAGCTCAAATGAACAAGAAAGGAAAGAAGACTTACGAGGTATCCATAGTACTGAGCATCATAACCATCGGCTAGATGAGCAAAGGCAGCACACATGTTAGTCCCTGGTGTAGCTGGTATACCAAGGATCTTCTCTGACAGGCCGGAATAGATGGTCTCTGTATCAGCCTAAAGGAAAAAAACCAAGGAGAATTAAAATATTACTTTCTTTTGACAAAACTACTGAATTTCATAAACCATGGATAGATTATGCCATAAGCCCTTCCCTCATCTAGGAGATGTCTTCTCCTTTCATATTTTCTTTCATGTTCATTCTGAGACTTCATCGGGCAAAATGAACTCAGGCTGCAAATGGTGGTAATTTGTGACTGTCAAGGAACTTTCAGAAACAGCTAGAGATTTCCAAAATTGCCAAACTATATGCTTCATGTTTCATAGGCCTCCTTAGGTAGAGCCCATTGACCGACCCCCTCCGGCATTTTGTAGATTTCTACAAAATTATGTTTCAGTCATCCAGAGCAGGGCCCGGTCTTACAAAGAATTGTGTCCTCCAATCAATCGCAAATTTGCATTCTCCTATCTCTTATGTAAATAGTTGTGATTGATATCAACTCTTTGCAGGACAGGGCCCCGGGCCGGTATTCAATTCAATACTTAGCATAAGTAAGAAATTTACTAAGTAAATGGCTAAGTTAAGTAATTTCCTTATCTCATATTCAAAACGCATTTTAGACTTATACTTGCGGTATTCAATTCAATACTTAGCATAAGTAAGAAATTTACTAAGTAAATGGCTAAGTTAAGTAATTTCCTTATCTCATATTCAAAACGCATTTTAGACTTATACTTGCGTAATAATGCGCAATTTTGATATAATTGTGCGCAGGTTATAATACGGAAGAAAACCATATGCCTGCCAATCAAGGCCTCCAAATAATTGGCTTACGTCTGGTAGGGAGCTGACTTACATTTAGGGTAAAATACTTTGAATTGAATACCAGTATTTTATCTAAGCCAAATACTAAGTAAAAAGCTTAAATTTTGCACTTACGTATTGAATTGAATACGGGCCCAGGTCTTTAAAAAACAACATCAATATCCAAATATTTTGAAAAGTTCAAAACTACCAGTCATCAGCTATATACATGTACAGATGGGGAAAAAATATGAAGAAACTATGGGCCCACCAACTCGCTGGAGAGAAGACAAGGGCAAACAATTTGCTCTGGGGGTGTTTCACAAAGATCCTTAGTCAAATTTAACTCTAAGTTGGACTTAGAAATTATGGAGAGCCATTTGTAGCCTTTAAAAACAATATATTCAAGACCGAAAATTCAAGTATTTTTTATTAATTCCACATCAAGAACATGATATGAATTATTTGAATCATTATTTTATGCCTTTTAAAATAACTTTTACTAAATATTTTCATAGATGCTAACAGCTTTCCATAATTGTTAAGTCCAACTTAGAGATAAGTTAAACTTAGGATCTTTGTGAAACACCCCCAGGACTCACAAACTAACTCACCTTTTCCCTGGTATGTATAGTCTGATCAAACGACCCAAGGAGAATCTGCCTCAGGTTGAAGACCCCAGCGTTGGCGTTCCTTGCCTTGACCAGCTTGTCCACCATGTCATCTGGGAGGACCGAGCCGTCCTTGTAGTGACCCGACAGCCTGGCCAGAGACTCCGCCTGCCAGCACCAGTTCTCTAGCATCTGGGACGGGGCTTCCACAAAGTCACGCTCCACCCTGGTCCCACTGCAAAAGAAACGTGTCAGTTGTTAATGAACTTGTAAAGATCTGCTTGAGTTTTGGGGGGCATTCATTAGGATCGGAGGTAGACTTAAAAAGATCAAACAAAAACAAGGTTTTATGTCAGCTCCTCTACCTTATGCCTCTGCCAATCATCATGCCTTTTATCGCTTGTTTGAGTCCATCAATGTCGTACATGTATATGTATAACCCCAAAGTAATAACATTCTTATTACAACACAGAATTTTTCCATAGTAGTGACAAGATGAAAAAAATGATTCAAACAGTTCATTTAATTTAAGTCTTGACATATTTGCTAAAAAGATGCTCTCAAAGTTGAGAGGCAGCTTATTTCTCCATTAACAAAATTAGACATACCAGATGTTCATTGCCACAGCACACCATAATGGCACGACAGCCTAGTAATAATAATAATAGTTCAGTTCATGTAAAGCGCATAATACGTTATGAAATAACATCTCTATAATAATAATAATAATAATAATAATAATATTGATATTTATATAGCGCCGGTATCCGCCAGGCTCTGACGCTCATGGCGCTGTACATACATGTATTACTATCACAAAAATATAACATTCTTAACTAAAATAAAGTAAACTAAAACAACACAAATTATTGCGCTACACTGACATGATTAAATAGCACTGTTTAGAAAGAGATGGGTTTTTAGAGCAACTTTGAAGGCATGAAGGGTAGTTAAATTACGAATACTAAGTGGCAGCTTATTCCAAAGGGACGGACCAGAATGAGAAAAAGCTCTATCCCCCCAGGAACTGCGCGTCTTAGGGACAACTAATAAGGAGGATTGAGATGAACGAAGACGTCTTGTAGGCTTATACTTAACAATCAACTTGATATTGTAGGAAGGAGCAGAGTCATACAATGAATGGAAAACTAACAACAACAACTTAAAAATGATTCGGTCACATACCGGGAGCCAGTGAAGAGTTTTGAGAATGGGGGTGATGTGGGTTCTACGAGAAGAAAGTGTGACAATACGTGCAGCAGTATTTTGCAGTTTCTGAAGTCGAGAAAGTTGTGTGTTAGGGAGTAGATAGAGAATAGAATTACAGAAATCTAAGCGTGATGAAATAAGAGCATGTACAAGTTTCTCTGTGGTTGAACGACTTAAGTATTTCCTAATAAAATACTTCCAAAGAGCTTTGGACTTTATTACCCTAGCTTTAGCTCCGGCAGCCTTATCAGCGCAAAGTGCATTTCAAGAAATGATCCTACCAACACTAACCTGAAGAAACAGAGCTCGGTCTGCCCCAAAATGTCATGCATCACGTGACCAAACTCATGAAAGAATGTCTCGACCTAAGCAAGACAAGCAAAAAGATTAGAAAAGGATTAAGAATGTACCTGAAGAATCTGAACTCGGTTTGCCCACAGAGTTGGTGCATGACGTGTCCAAACTCATGGAAGAAAGTCTCTACCTGTTGGTCAGAAAAGATTACAAGATTAAGTAACAAATTTTCATATGGTTGATATAAGATTTTCAAATTATCAGTTTGGTTAGCCTTTGCCTTATGAAATATGGAAGCTTCTTCAGTTTCCAACCTGAAGGCTCGTTCAGTTGTGACGCCATAACAACCACAAAATAATGCCTGCTTTTCTTCAATGTGTACATGCATGGCAACTGCAAGCAACACTCTTTATCATAAGTTATAAGTTTGAAATTGATGCATATTACACTTTACGTCCATAAATATTTTTTTAAATGCCACAGTTTGGCCAAGTCATATCTGATCGAGGCCTGACATAATGGGTATTTCAAATACTGATATTGATGACAAACTTTTCTAGAAATCCATCTCCTAAAGACTTTGGACTTTTCATTCCTACCTTTCGACTTCTCCTAAAAGTTGTTCCACCCAAAAACATAATGCCTTCGGCACCAACTTCTGTGGGCAGAGGCATAAACAACAGGCCTTGCCCTAAAAAAATAAATCAAATCCAAAGGGTGCTGAACCTTGCTTTTGCACTATGATATAAAGTGAACATTCTAGTAAGCCAAACAATAACAACATCTCTTCCTTTGAGTTACCTCATCATGAGTGGATAGCGACGGGGAGTCGGGAGTAGACTTGGTGAAGTTAGCTACCATGGCTGCTATGGCTGCTTGACGGGTACCATCAGGAGCTAGGCAGCCGGGCTGGAATCAAATCAAAACAAGGTAGTCATTGTTAACTGTAGGTCAAAGGGATCAGGTATCTTTGCCTCAGATTCTAAACAAAATCCTGTAATTTCAAGTTGTTAAACTTTAACAAAAGATTTTGAGTGTTAGTGTGAGCAGATGCTTCATACCCTACTTGCGTTTACAACAGATTTTCCTTGTGGTACTACCTAAGCAAAAAGGAGGGAACATTTCTTACAGTTTCACTAAGCGGGCTTCAAAATTCAGTGAAAGTCTGACAATATCTACCTTAAATTGGCAATCATTATCAATACAAATATTCAATAGGGGCGAACGGGAAACAAAATTCGCTCCATTTTAATTCATGAAAACCCCCAATAGAGTTAAATGAGATAATAAAATCAATCCATTTAATCATGAGATTGAGATATTTATAAGAAACTTTATCATGTCACTCATATGTGAAGAAATCTCCTACCTGAAGACCAAAGCAGGCTGCATGGCTGAACTTGCCTTCCCTGGGGAAAAGATCCAGGTAGAAGAAACCCATGAACTCACTGGTCTCCTTGTCTGTGACACTGAACTACAAAGATAAACAAACAAATGGTGGAATGGTTACAGTGGATTGCCCTTGTCAAATTGGTAGACTATGTGATTCCAGTCCCTGCTGCAAAAATCTGTTGTTATCGTTGCATGATTTTTGGTACCTTCATCCCAGAGCTTTATTTTACTATATAGTCTGCAAGATAAACCTTGCCTTTAAAGATGATGAATTATGATGTAAGATGTAATGGTAAAAATGTTGGTATGAAGATAAGCAATGAAAAAAAAGGTTGATAACATGACTAATGATTCTAATTTTTGAACAATACTTGTTAAGTTGATGGCAACCAGAGCACTTAAAAAGCTTGATATTTCATTTGTGAAGTGCCAACATACCTAAGTGACTTCTCATCTGATATTTAATGTTGCTTACTAATATAAATATGAAAGATGGCACACATACATGTAGAAAGGTCTTATCCATAATGAGAATTCAAGAACTCCAGCCTATTTCCTTTTGTTGTTGAAACTGCAACCATATCATGACTATGTTAATTTCTTACCATCTGAACATCATCATTCCAGACTGGTGCTTGATCCTTGGGAACCTCCTCAAACTTCAGTCCAAGTAGCTCCTGGAGTATCAGAGAGAAAAACAAAAGTAGGAGGTTAAAGCCATAGTCCGTATACAACAGGCAATGAGAGAAAATCTGCTGGAGAGGGCATTTCTACACAAGGTCAATGGAGAAATGTGTAGTAATAGTCTTGTTCCATGAATGCAACGTATGACTTTGGATGTTAACACTTTCTGGAGGACAGCTTCCTTTGGCAGTTTCCAAGTAAGGTCTTCAATCATAGCACTGTCCAAATGGATTAATTGCAATCCATTCTATTCAGGAATTTTATTTGAACTTCACGATTCCTATCTCTTCCAATGAAAATTTGAAATTTACTCAAAATATACATGCACATTTACATCAGCTTGGGTATGTAGGAGGGAGTGGATTTAAAATGAAAGATATATGTACATGCATCAATCCACACATTCTTTAGAAGTTTTCCACGTTTCTTCCTTTTAATTTTTTTTCTTCTTTCTTCCTTTCTTGTGGATAAAATATAGTACATTAACGAGCCAAACTATCACTGGCATTTAAGTATTTACATAGAAATAGCAGTTGTTTGGAAATTAAGTTCAGTCATCTCAATTTACACAGAAAAAGGCTGTTATAGTATACATAGGATGCATTGAAAGCTTTGAATGAACTTCAAAAAGTCTTAGGTAAGTAGTAAACTTGGAATATTGTGGCCTCTTTTTTTTTGCTTTGGTTTTGATTTCTTAAAACACCATTTTGTTTACAGGTGAGATTGTACGTCAGGGATAGGATGTGATGGAGAAGGAGACTTCCCTGAAGGCATGGATTCCATTGTTCTAAAATTGTATTATTCATTCTGGACTTGTTGCTGTACGTCCACAGGCTGGCATTACCTCTGTTGTGATAGGAATCTATCAGCAGCTGAGAAGAGTAGAGATAGACCAGGTTGTTGTGAAAAGGCTGGTCCGCTTCAGCGATGAATCTTGACATAGAGAATGGTCTCTTACAAAGATTGCAACAGGTTATTTGTTTCTAGCAGTGTGGTCTTTTGGTTGAACTGTTTTACATCAACACAGGTAACAGCTGCTTCGCTTCAAAGATGAACAGAGGCACTTTGTTACCGAAGGATGTAGCTATCTCCAGTCTAGCGTATGGAGAGACCATACCATTTGAACAACATGTATTAGCTTCCTGCAGAGCCATAGGAGTAGCTGCCAACACCATGAATAACGTTGCAAGACTATGCTCCAATATGACAGTTTCTCATGAGCATTAAGTGTAGATTACAGCTGATGAGGCTTCAGAGAGATAGATGAAGTTCAGAGATACATCGATTAGTCACACTCTATGTGGATATTACACTGTTGTGGTGAACCAGTGTTGCTGTCTTCCAGAATGCAGCTTCAGGCTGCTTTACCAAGATGGTTGTAAGACAGGTCGGACAGGAGACGAAAGGCCAAGGCTGAACTGTTCCAGGTGCCCACAAACAGCAGGTGTGGCTATTTCTGGAGAGATGCTTGTAAATATCATTAAAGTGTCAAACGTAGCAATGGTTTCTCCTTCTTCACCAAAATCTTTCTGTAAGTCCTGTTGACCAATCCATCATTGAAATAGGTACTGCCAGGAGGATTGAGAGTACCTTGGCTCTACTAAAGATCCCAATGTTGAGGATACTGATGGGCCTTCCCTTTATATGAAATCTGTTCGTGTCCTCTTCAACATCATCAGTAAATTTAGTTCTGCTAGCAACAAAATGATGCATCAATCAACTGGTATTCCTTGGAGACATCCAATCTCAAGTGCTCTGTAGGTCACTGTCACTGAGAAGCTTGGCCAATACTTTGGATGCCCTGACTGGTGCTGTCTGGAACTCTGCAGCATTTAGAGTCCATATGCTGAGTTTTTCTTTTCTTCATTCTGCTTTTTGTTCATCTTCTGATAAAATGTTGTCTTAATCAATTGCATTTCCTTGATAGTTTTCATCTTACACCGCTCTCTGGATCACGTAAGGACTGTCCAATTTCTTCTTGCTTTTGGTTGACTTGTTAGGCAGGAGTATCGGCTGTTGTGTTCCCTGATGAAGTAGTGTGTCCTAGAGGCTTTCTTTCTCAACGGCCCTCTAGGTTAGGTTGACTCAGGAGCTTGCCTACTTAATCCATTTCAATTTGGCTTGTCTAGAATGATTGCTGAGTTGTCAATATCTGATGAGAGCAGCAAATGCCTTCAGTTTTGGGAGAGTCTCGCAATCACATTCCTTTACATCCCTTCCTACTTTAAGTTTTTCCCCACAAATTAAGAGGCCAAATATGACTTTTGTATGGAGTTCATTCAAAACTTGCACTGCTACCTGGATGTATTGATATTATGTTTTACGATGCATAGATCAGATATCATGAGAACAGACTACAATTCATAATCCAAACAACTTTATTTCTATCTGAATTTAAAATAAAAAAGAAAGAATAGGAAAACATTTATATATTTTTATGAAAAAAGGTGAGATTTGGATGGTATGCATTGGTTACGCCTTGTGGAGAAAGACAAGTTAAGGCGAAGGCAGGAAACATATCATCATTATCTTTTTAACAATACCAATAATGCACATGAACATGTATGATTTTGTAATAAATATCAAATTCATTGGAACGGGAACGGTGGAGCACACCTAAAAAGAGAGAAATTCTTTGATGTCAAAGAAACTTAAGAGATAAATATCCTGCAATCGGAAACACCTGCCAGAAGCATTTTCCAGAAAGTGCATTACAATGACAAAAATAATCTTATAAGAAACATCTTTTTTATTTAGCTAAGAAGATTGTGCAATGTGAGAGGGTGAAGTCTGGTAGCTCTCATGGGGGGGGGGGGGGGGGAGGGGGGAGGGGTAATCATAAAGAACAGATATCCATTTCTTTGTTTTTGGTGTAGCATGATCATAATTTTCAGCCGATCACACCCAACTTGGATTGGATGAGCTGAGAACTGGTATCCCTCGGAGTAAATCATTACCGACAAATCACACAAGGAAAATAATGATGTCCCTTGGTGACCTTGAGCAGTTCAAATAAACATTACATTTAGTGGACATCACATACGACTGAACCATCATCAAAGGACATATTTTCTTCTGAGTCAGAGCTGGACAGGCTTATGTCAGTCAATGTCAAAAACGTTGAAAAGGAAGAAATACAATGTAGGCTACGTTCGCTCATAGTCCATCTCAAGGCATGGAAGAGATTGAAGTTATGGTGGGAGGTCCAAAGCCATACAGTTTTGAACCCAAGTTTACTACTGAAGAAATGCAGGCAAGACAAAAGGAAAGACGTCGAGACGACGACAAAGACCCAAAACCATCACCCTAAAATCCATGTGGTGACAACAATAACTGGTGTTTCTGTGAAGTATGCACACTCATCGAGACTTCATAACAGTGTCCATGTTGTGTAAAAGTCACTAATTGCTGGTGCTTTTTGAGCAAGGATATCTCTTGCAATACTCTTCATGAAGACTTTAGGAAAGTTTGTCTAGAAAGGGCAGTTCTTAGGATGTCTTTGATTGCTCGCCCGGATACGACCTCTCGTATCCGGATCAGCTTGAAAATGCATTACATTAGAAGCCAAAGACACTTTTGTTTAGCACTATATTACAGCTGATAATGATTTTCCTGCTGTTCTGTTATTGTTGAATGTAATGCTTCATGGTATAAAAAAGTATTTTTATGTATTAATATGCCCATGTACTGAAGTGTAGTGTTGTACCAAACTTCTGACTGAAGTTTAGTGAAAGAGTGAATGTAAACAAACACAATTTCTGATTGTTGACCATGGTCATGGAGTGGAGGTCCATCGATCCATGATGGACCATTTTAAAGAGGCAGCCGAAGCACAGCCTTTTCATCAAGGACCTTGCTGTGGCTATTTTTGGCCGCGCAACGCTTGCAACAAGCTCAGTGGATGGTAAAAAGAGTCCTCGGCATGCAAAGCTGCAGGACAAGGTAGCAACGCCAGCCCTCAATCCTGAGATGGGTGCCAATGTTCTGCTGAAGCTAAACACCCAGCTCCTATAGGGGAACGGACAAGAGAAGATCAATAAAGATCGTTTCTCTCTTTTCATTATTTCTTCTTGTTTCATCCACTTGTCTATGATTTCATTCTTTCATCTTTTTTTTAATAGCCTGGCTCTATGTATTTCAAACCAGGACAAGAGACATTTAGTTATGCAGTGTGCTAGTTGCCTTAGATGCAGGTCTGGGACGCAAGGGTGTGAGTGACATGTGTCAACCTAGGACTAGCCCTTCCTGTGGTAGACAGCAGTGTCCAGAGGCAAAGATTCAGATTTTGTTCTTATCTCAGCAGCAGAAGCAAAGAAGGAGCGAGAGGCAGATGGGAAATTAAAGGCAGAGTCTGCGATAGCTGCAGCAGCAAGTCACTTTGCCCATGGCGTTCCTGTTAGTTCATGGGGGAATCGACGGCTTCAGTCGGCTCTTTGTGTTCCTCAATACCTCAAACAACAATAAGTCAGAAACAGTACTGAATGGCTTTATAGAAGCTGTATCAATGTATGGATGTCCTTGGAGGGTAAGATGTGACTTAGGAGGCGAAAACAATGATGTTTGTAACGTAATGGGAGGTACTGAGAGGTGGTGGTCGGGGGAGTGCCTTAAGGGGCGCAAGTACGCATAATCAGCGCATGCAGATATCCTATACAAATCTTTACTATGACATGTTTTCATATCTCGCATGCAATAAACAATAAGTTATGCACTGCATGCAGAACAGTAAAGACCAGGGTTGGAACCAGCTAGATCATGCCGGGAAGTGTCTGTCCATATGTGCGTATGTAAAGGTTTTAGGTAAGGGCCAAACATCGACCTGGCAATAGGCAAAGGGTTTTATTCTTTTTCTGTAAGATTTGTGTGTGTGAATCAATTAGGCTTCTGAAAAAAAAACATCTTGCCAATAGTTTCTATGCCAACTTAGGATTGTTATGCGCTAAAATGATATCAGGAAATAGCCTTCATTCTTTCCTGTATTTAAGCTATTGAG